TCAATAGTGCTTTGCTTATCCAAGGTCTCTTTCCTTTCCATATAAAGTTAGTGATTGGTTTTTTCATATTCTTAAAAAATGTTGATGGGATCTGGATTGGGATTACATTGAATGTATAGATTGCTTTGGGTGGAACTGACATTTTCACAATGTTCAATCTTCTTATCTATGGACATGGTATGTCCTTCCATTTATGTAGATCTCTTTCGGTTTCTTGAAGTAGTTTTTTTTATAGTTTTCTTTGTACAGGTCTTTTGTGTCCCCGGTAAGATTTATTCCCAAGTATTTTATTTTTTTGGTAGCTATTGTAAATGGTGTTTATTTCCTTATTTCTTTTTCAGCAATCTCTTTGCTGGTGTAGAGGAATCCAACTGATTTTTGGATGTTGATCTTGTATCCTGCCCTGATGCAAAATCTTTCATTTAGTTCCAGTAGATTTTTGACTCAGTCTCTTGGGTTTTCTAGGCATATGATTGTATCATCAGAAAATAGGGATAGTTTGACTTCTTCCTTACCAATTTGGATGCCTTTGATTTCCCTTTCTTGCCTTCTGGCCCTGGCTAGGACTTCTAGTACAGTGTTGAATAGAAGTGGTGATAGCAGGCATCCTTGTCTGGTTCCTGTTGGCAAGAGGAATGGTTTCAGTCTCTCTCCATTGAGCATAATGTTGGCTGTTGGTTTTGCATAAATGCCCAGTTTTGAGACCCAGGTGCCTGAGACCTCTTATTTTGTTGTTCTTCAGTCATGCTTTGCTTATCTGAGGTTTCTTTCCTTTTCATATAAAATTAGTGATTGTTTTTTCCATATCCTTAAAGAATATTGATGATATCTAGATTGGGATTGCATTGAATGTATAGATTACTTTGGGTAGTATTGACATTTTCACAATGTTCCATCTTCCTATCCACGGCATGGCATGTTCTTCCATTTGTGTAAATCTCTTATGGTTTCTTGAAGTAGTGTTTTGTAATTTTCTTTGTATAGGTCTTTTGTATCCCTGGTGAGATTTGTTCCCAAGTATTTTATTTTTTTCGTAGCTTTGGGAGCTCTGATGGCGTAGTGCCTAAGGCATGTGACTGCTAACCAGAAAGCTGGATGTTCAAACCCACCTGCCACTCCTCGGAAGGAAGGTTGGGCAATCTACTTCTGTAGTGATCTTACCTCACAAATCCAAGGAAGGATCGCTGTGAGTCGGATCTGAGTCAATGGCAGTGAGTTTAGTTTTTATGGTTGTTGTAAATAGTATCGATTTCCTTATTTCCTTTTCAGCAATCTCTTTGCTGGTGTAAGGGAATCCAACTGAGTTTTGTATGTTGATCTTATATCCTGCCACTAGCTAAATCTCTCAATTAGGTCCAGTAGTATTCCTTTTCAAACTGTCATTCCCAGCATAGTAGATCATATGGTTGTCTGATTCAAAATGGCCAAAACCAGTCCATGTCAGCTCACTAATGCTGAGGATATCAATCTTTATGCGTTCCATTTCCTTTTTGACAACTTCCAATTTTCCTAGATTCATACTTCATACATTCCATGTTCCGATGATTAATGGATGTCTGCGGCTGTTTCTCTTCAATTTGAGTGGTGTCACATCAGCAAATGAAGGTCTTGAAAGCTTTCTCTTTTCCATATGAGTAAGGCTGAGTTTACTCAGATGTTGCAGCTCTTTCCAAGTCCTATTTTGAGAGCCTTTTAGCCTAAACAGACTATTACTAAAGGTGCGTGGTAATGTACCAAACAGTATTTCTTTGCTTTTTATAAGGTTTCCCTGGCCAATTCTTTGAGAAGTGGACGGCCTCTTCCTTCTTCCTAGTCTGTCTCAGTCTATAAGCTGGGCTGTTACCTGTGCACCAGGTGCATCTTGCTGGGTTTTAAACACCAGAGGCTCAGCCTCAAAACTCAAGTCTACATGTCTCCACAGTAGGACAAACCGACAGACAAGTTTGTCTTGCTGTCGGAGGCCTCTCGTATCACCCCCACCTGGCCTCTGTCTGGCTTCCTGGCTTTTAATCCCCTTTCTCCTGCTCTTCTGGCCTGCTGCTTTGGGCGTCCCTGAGTTGTCCCTGGGGCTGACTGCTCTTCTGTCCGGGTTCCTGGCTTTTATCCCCTTTCTCCTGCTCTTCTGGCCTGCTACTCTGGGCTGGCCTGAGTTTCCTCTCCTCACCTAGTCCCTTTGGCTGATTGCTCTTCTCTCTGGCTTCCTGGCTTTTAATCCCCTTTGTCCTGCTCTTCCCGTCTGCTACTTTGGGCATCCCTGAGTTGTCTCTCCACACCTGTAACCCTGGGCTGACCTGGGTTTGGGTGAAGTTTACAGAGCAAATTCATTTTTCGTACAGCAGTTCATACACATTTTGTCCCATGACATTGACTGCAGTTCCCCACAATGTAATACCTCTCTTCCCACTTCCTCCCCATAGTTACCTTTTTCCTGTGTCCCTCCCTCCCATGTACTAACGCCCCTCCCCAAGCTGTCTCCTTGAACAAATACTACCCTTCTGTTCTCCTATGATTCATCGCTCCAAGTATTGTGTCTACTTGATGTAAATGTTCAGCCCATATGCCTATTATTTGGCTGGAAGCCACAGGAGTGAGTTCAGTTCCAGACCTAAAGGTCAGCTGTGGGCCATAGTCTCAGGGGTTTCACTAGGCTCTATGAGACCAGCAAACCTGGTCTTTTTTTTTTTTTTTTAATGATTTTGAGTTTCATTCCATATTGTTCTCCCACTCTATCCAGTATCTCTTTCACCGATCCCCCTCCAAGTGGTTGACAGTGGTAGCTGGGCACCATCTATTTCTGGTCTCATGATTATATTGGTTAAGGATTGCATGGTGTACCAGTCCCTTGGACTAATTTTTTCCATGCATCTTTGGTTTTCTTCATTCTTGTTTTCTCTGAAAGAGAAAAGACCTATCGTTGCATCTAGATGGCTGCTTGCAAGTTTTTAAGACCCCAGTTGCTGCTCACCAAAGTAGGATGTAGAACAATGTTTTTGTGTAGTATGTTATGCCAGTTGAGCTTGATGTCTCCTGCAACCATGGTCCTGAGCCCACAGGTCCAAGTACTTGCTCCCTCCTGGTAGTTGAGTGTGGCCAAGAAGTTACCACAACCTTGTCCTTTGTCAGCTCTACTGTATACCTGGACATTCTTACAGCACATACAAATACACTTGTAGAAACAGTGTCTGCCAACCCTATACATGGTCATGGGCACACTACCCCCTGCATAGACATACTTGATTGTTCTGACTGTCCACCCATGTATTTACCTGTAGATTATTGTTTATTATGACTGATCATGCAGTACTGTATGTGCAAAAGGGTTGATCTTTTTTGTATATTCCTCCCATGTACATTTGTTTGTCTTCCTCAGTGTCACAGTGTTGATCACTCACATTTGGTACCTTGCCCTTCTCTTCACCCAAACTAATTGTTGTCTCTGCTTACCTAGCAGTGTTCCCTTCTTTCCCCTCCCACTCCTGGTAACCAACAAAGAAAGTTTCATTCCGTATATAAACCTTTCCTTGACTTTTTAGAATAATGAACTAATATGACATTTGTCCTGTGATTGACTTAATTCACTCAGCATAATGTCTTCCAAGTTCTTGATGTAAGAGATTTCTGAGCAGAAATATTTGGGTTTATTTTTTAAAAGATTGCTTTAGCCTTTTTGCCAGAATGTAGCTAGCTTCACATCAGCTGAGAATGCAGTGTTTCTTCTAAATTCCACCCTGAGTAAGCTTTAAATATTCTCTGGCATTTATTCCCCACTTCGTTTTGAGTGCCTCTTAAGATGTGAGGGCAAAACTCCTTGTAAAGAAAAACTAGGTAAGTATTGCTTTGAGGGTTGTCCTTTTGATTTTGTTGTTATTCATTAGTTAAACTCAGAATAAAATGTTGTTGTATTTCTCTGTCCTGGGGAATGATTTTTCCTTCTTACTGTGACATTTCTAGGTTTTCACAGTTAACACTTTTCTTCCTCATCCCCAGTCTTAACCTACTCATTCCTTACTAGAGATACTACTGTATTACTCTTAGATTGTCCTCCTTCAGACCTGACTCTCAACCCAGCATGCCTTGGGAATTCTATTCCCTTCATCATCCAGCTGTAAGGATAGAAAAACTCAAACCAAAACCAAAACCTGGTTCAAGCTGCATTTTATTTATTTATTTATTTATTTGATCTGGATTATTGTAACAACCTCCTGACAGGTTTACTTGCTTCCTGTCCCTGCCTCCTTGCTCTGCTCATATACCCTACTCCTATACTTGTATACTCTCAACAGAACAGCCAGACTGAGATTGTTACAACTTAAGTCAGATCATGCCATTTTTCTCCTCTATCTCTCTAGTGGCTCCCCATTTCACTCAGAGTAAAATTCAGAATTCTAAATATGACTTATAAGGCCCTACTTGTGCTGGACCCTTGTTATCTGTCGGAACTACTACAGTCTTAAAGTACTCTACACTACTCCAGTCACATTAGCCTCTGGTTTTCTTCCAACCTGCCTGGCATACTTCTGTTTTAAGGCCCCTTTGCACTTGCTGTTCCCTTTGTCTGGAACATTCTTCCCCTGCTGTTTGCGTAGTTACTATTTTTCTTTCCTTCAGCACTTTGCTCAGAAATCCCCTTTCCTGAGCACAGTAGATGAAATGTTAACCACCTCCTTCACAAGATTCTGTATACCTTTCCTGCTTTTTTTCTCTCTTAGCACTTAACACCTTCTAATGCACCATATTTTACTTATTTATTTTGTTTACTGTCTGTCTTCTTACTTTACTAAGGTAAGCTCCTTGAGAGATTCTGGCCTGTTTTGTTCACTGTGGGGTCCCTAGTTTGTGGCTCAGCGTTGTCTTATAGTAGACAATCAATACGTATTTTGAGTAAATGATTTCTTTCATGTGCCTTAAATACAATGCATGGATTTGAAGCTATCCACTATTACCAAAAATAGTTGTTAGTTGACATTGGAGATTGATTGAAAAAATATTTGTGTTGGCAGGGCCATCAAAGAGCTACAGGGCCAGCTGGACTATGAACGATTGCGTAGAGAAAAATTAGAATGTCAGCTTGATGAGTGTCGAGCAGAAGTGGATCAACTCAGGGACACACTGGAGAAAAATGAGGTCCCCAACTTTGTGGCTATGGTTGGTGTCTTTCTTAACACATTTATATATCTCAAGTAATAGTATAGAAGAGTGGCTAAGAGTGCAAGCTTTGAACTGAGTCTATTTTGGTTTGAATTTTGACTATAACCCTTTTTGGACTGGACAAGTCATTTAACCTCTCTGTGCTTCAGTTGTAAACTGGAGATAAATGGCCCCCCCCAAAGTGCTGAAGTGCTGCTCATCTGATGTTCCTAAGTACAAGAAGGCTGTGTTGTGCCTCAGTAGTGAAAATGTGTGTTAGATAAGCTTTTCTCAGGGTGAGTTATAGTGCTCTTGCCTTGAGTTAAATGTTAACAAATAAACTATGTTTTACATAAGGAATCTTTAAACAGAAGCACACGTAAAACAAAGTTATGTATTGATTGGTTCATGAAAGTGATTTTGCCAGTGGCTCATAGGAACTTAACTCTGTATTTTCCCTGGAGCAGTTGTTCACTATTCACTAATTCATTGTCCATGGCAACATTATAGAAACAAGGTTATGTATTGATTTGTTCATAAAGGTAATTTTACCAGTGGCTCATAGGAACTTAACTCTTTATTTTCCCTAGAGCAGTTGTTCAGTATTCGCTAATTCAGTGTCCACAGCAACTTTATAGAGTATAACCACAGCAAATTAATTGTGTATATATATATATACATAGTATATATATATATATGTACACACATATATATGTTAGCACATATTAAAGAAATATATATATGTATATATCACAGAAGAAAGACTGGACAATCTACTTCCATAAAGATTTACTGCCTTGGAAACCCAATGGGGGTTGCTGTGAATTTGAATTGACTCGATGACAGTGAGTTTTTTTTTCATATGTACATATATGTATAAATTGCCTTTGAGCAATTTGCCTTTGAGTCAATTCAGACTCACAGCAACCCCCATTGGGTTTCCGAGGCAGTAAATTTTTATGGAAGTAGATTGTCCAGTCTTCCTTTGGTAGAGTGGCTGGTGGGTTTGAACTGCCAACCTTCTGGTTAGCAGTCAAATGCTTAGGCACTGCACTGCCAGAGCTCCTTATGTATATGTGTGTGTGTGTATAAATGGTTTGAACATTCTCAGTTCATTATAAGTATTCATTAAGTATTGTTATTGTTATTATTATTACTCCATATAAGGAGAAAATATTTTTTATAAGGAGAATAATCAATAAGAATTCCAAAATCGCTAGGGCATGTATACTGAAAAGCAGATGGAATATAGAAAACAGTGAAAATGAAGGGAAGAAACCCCAAATGGTGCTTATATTTCAGGCCATCTAGTGTTCAGTGCAAGTGGTTAACACACTCATCTGCTAACTGAAAGGCTGGCGATTTGAGTCCATCTAGAGGTGCCTCAGAAGAAAGGCCTGGTGATCTACTTCTGAAAAATCAGTCTTTGAAAAGTTTATGAAGCACAGTTCTACTCTGACAAACATTAGGTCATCATGGGTTGGAATGACTTGATGGCAACTTTGTTGTTGTTTAATCTTAGAGAGTGCATTGAGAAAACGGACTTTCTCTCTCTTTTGTAAGTGAAGATGGCCATGATGTGGCCTTTGTGTACAACTCATCTTCACATAGTGTAGGATTCAAGTTTGATTTGGCTCCCTTGCATAGGAAATTTTTTTCTTCGGGTATCATAGATGAATTAATTCTGTTCCAGGCCCTATCATCTCAATATGACCTATAATAAAAACTTCCTGGCTGCCCCAAGATTCCAGTTTCTCATCATCTCCTGCATCCTGATACCTAGACTTATTTCATTTTTTGCTGAAAACATTCAGTGGCCCCTGATACTTGTTTTGTCAAATGCAAACTCTTTATCCTGCCTTTTTATTTTACACACACCATTTATTAATCTCTTAAAAAACACTTTAAAATATTAAAATAAATATATTTGTTGTATAATCTTAAGAACAGAACAGACATTCCTTTTCCTAGCAAGTTCCACTCTCCAGAAGAGATGACTGTTACGAGTTTGGTATGTATCATGTTGTGTGCCATGAAATTGATTCTGACTCATAGCTACCCTATATGACAGTAGAACTTCCCCATAGGGCTGCCTAGGCTGTAATCTTTATGGGAGCAGATCACCAGGTCTTTTCTCCCACGGAGCTGCTGGGTGGGTTCGAATCCCCAACTTTTTGGTTAGCAGTCGAGTACTTAACCATTGTGCAGCCAGGACTCCTTGATATGTATTGTGTTAGGCTGGGTTCTGTAGAGAAGTAGAAGCAAAACAGTAAAGCTTATATATATATATATATATATATAGAAAGAGAAATTTATTTTAGGAAAATGGCTCACACACTTACAGAAGTTGGCAAGTCCCAAGTTCTTGGATCAAATGTCAAACTGGAGGCTTTTCCCGACTCACGCAATGGCAGGGGTTGACGAGTTCAAGATTGGCAGGCAGTCAACGGCACATAACAACAACAACAAGAACATTGGCTGTTGACTCTGATGGATGACAAATCCAAGATCACCAGGCTGAATGGTGGATTGTTTGCTTGTGGACAGTTGTAGGTGGCTCAACAGGATCCAGATCCACAGAAGATTCTCTCATTTTCCCAGGATGTCCATAAATATATCGGAAGCAGGCCACACCCCTAGGGAAACTCCCTTTCAATGGATTGGCTGCTCAAAACATGTATATCTGATCTCATCATGGGAATAACCACATCATAACTGCTTAAACCACTGAGAATCATGGTTCAGGCAAGTTGACACATAAGCCCAACTATTACAGTTGTCAACTTGGCAGTTGTACTCATCTCCTTAACCACATATAATCTGTAAATAAGGGCAATTGTACAGTCATATTTGCACCTAACATGATACACTAACATGCATACACCTGAAATGCGTTAACCCTGTTTACATTTCATAGTTCATAACTGAAGGAAACAGAAATAGTCCTTGTTTCTGAAGGTGGTCACATGATCATAGCTGATATTCAGAACTACTTTCTTCCACCATCCATTCTGTATTTCCCCTGCCCTCAGCAAGCACCTCAGCTAGTCATGGTTCTTTGCATGGTGGGATGACTCAAACCTTAACTCCTGAAGGGTCTGGGCCATTACTAGTCATATCAGAATTGGGTTGCTGTAGTTTTCCATTACTTTAATTGCAGCGCATGGTAGTACTAAGAGACATTCTAAAGAATCTTCTGTATTCCAGACATATTCTTCTTTACTTCTATTATGTAACATCAATCCAATTTCCCCTTGGTAATCAGGATCTATCACACCAGACAGTACAGTAACTCCCTTCTTTGTTTATTGATCCAGAGGCATGAGGAAGCCAAAATGGCCGGGTGGCATTCTTAACTTCCAGTTCAGTGCAATTAGTATTGTGTCTCTAGGTGGGAGTTTTCCTCCCTTTGGGACTAAGATCTCCAGACCCGCAGAGCATAGGTTAGCAGGGACAAGAAGCAACATTTTTTGAGTGAGTCACTAGGGGTAATAGTGAGTGGTACCACTTCCATTTCCACCCCTTGGTTCTTGGCCCTGTGATTCCTGGCTATTGGAGAAAAGCACCATATATTGGATGCTGGTTTAGAGCATATACAGCCTCCTGGAGAACATTGCCCCAACCCTTCAAGGCACTGCCACATAGCTGGCACCATAATTATGTTTTTAGTAGGCAGTTCCATTGTTCTGTCAAGCCAGCTGCTTCAGGATGATGGGAAAAATGGTAAGACCAGGTAATTCCATGAGCAAAGGCCCATTGCCATACTTCATTTGCTGTGAAATGAGTCCCTTTATCTGAAGCAATGCAATGTGGGAGAAGGCATTCTGTAAGTCCACGGATGGTAGTTTTGGCAGAAGCATTGTGTGCAGGGAAGGTGAATCCATATCCAGAATAAGTATTTATTCCAGTAAGAGCAAAACACTGTCTTTTTCATGATGGAAGTGGTTCAATGTAATCAGCTTGCCACCAGGTTACTGACTGATCACCCCGAGGAATGGTTCCATATCACAGACTCAGTGTTGGTCTCTGCTGCTGGCAGATTGGGCACTCAGCAGTGGCGGTAGCCAAATCAGCCTTGGTAAGTGAGAGTCCATGTTGCTGAGCCCATGCATAACCTCCATCCCTGCCACCATGGCCGCTTTGTTCATGATCCCATTGGGCAATGACAGAAGTAACTGGGGAAAAAGGATGATTGGTTTCCACAGAATGTGTCATCCTGTCTGCTTAATTGTTAACATTCTCCTCTGCTGAGGTCACCTCTGAGGTCACCTATCAGTGGGCATTCACATGAGACACAAATATCCTTCACTCCTTTGGCCCTTTCAGAGAGATCTATCCACATACCTCTTCCCCATACATCCTTGTCATCAGTTTTCCAGTCATGCTCCTTCCAAGTCCCAGACCATCCAACCAAGCTGTTGGCAACAGCCATGAATCCGTATATAGTCATACATCTGGCCATTTCTTATTCCATGCAAAGTGAATAGCCAGATACAGGGCTCAAAGTTCTGTCCTTTGAGAGGATTTCCCTTCACCACAGTCCTTCAGGGAAGTCCCAGAAAGGGGCTGCAGTGCTACAGCTGTCCACTTTTGAGTGGTGCCTGCATATTGCGCAAAACTATCTGTAAACCAGGGACAAGTTTTTTCTTCCTCAGTCAACTGACCATAAGGAACTCCCCATGAGGCATAGGTGCAGACTGGGAGAGAGAAAGTAATGTGAGTGGAGTGGAAACCATAGGTATTTGTGCCACTTCCTCATGCAACTTACTTGTGCCTTCAAGTCCTGCTTGAGCCCAATCTCTTATATACCACTTCCATTTAATGATGGAATGCTGCTGTGCACATCCAACTTTATGACTTTGTGGGTCAGACAACACCCAGTTCATGATGGGTAGCTCAGGCTTCATGGTGACTTGGTGACCCATGGTTAGGTGTTCAGTCTCTACTAAAGCCCAGTAATAAGCCAAAAGCTGTGTCACTGAAGCATGGATTATTCAGATAACTTCTCAAAAGAAGAGTAGTTATCTGCAGAGGATGACAGGGCTTTGCTCCAAAAT